CACTTTTGACAGCTTTACAGCAAAATCGCCTCTTAAAAAGACGATTTTGCTATAAAGCTGCCAAAAATGTCAGCTTTTGAAACACTTTTGACAGATCTACAGTAGCTTTGCATGTTAAAATTGCCCAACCAAACGGGCCCTTACAGAGTAGAAAAAACAGAAAGAAAAACAAGAAAGAGCTCGATAATGGCGGCTTCATTTACTTCGACGATTCATCCACCAACGAAACCACTCTCGCCGTCAAAACCCTCTCAACTCTCCCCATTTTCTCCAGGCCTCACTCACAAAACCCTAGTCTCCTTCTCCTCTTCAGTTCGAGGTATCTCTGGCTCTTTACCCTAATCTCTTCAACTTTCATGTCCAGAGTCATCTCTTTTGACTCCTGCTCGCTCTCAGCTCCTTCGATAAACTTGGCCAGCTCGAGAAATGCGCAGTCTGCGGTTGTTGCAGCTGCTGGAACAAGGAATTTGATGGGATATCTGACGAAAAATGAAGGCTTGCGGTTTGCTGTGGTAAATTTTTTTATTCCCTTCTATTTTTTTATGTTTGTTAGTGTTATGCAGATAACCTGTTTGATGAATTGTCACTGTGTGAGAAGAGATGCTCATGCAATAAAGTTTGGCACTTCTGGCACTATTACTGGTCACACAAGTTGAAGGATGAATTAGAAGTGTTAGATTTGTATTGAGGAGAACTCTTTATATAGATTTACAAGATATATATACACACGATCAGAAAACACTAGGAGGGTGGCTACACACTAGGAGGCGGCGGCTGAGGCGACTAGGAGGCGGCTGAGGCGGCTAGGAGGCGCTATAGGGTGGCTAGTATGATATTTTCTGACACCCCCTTTAAACTCACGGTGGATCGAACACCGAGAGTTTGCACAAGAAATAGTGAAACGTAAAATTAGTTTGGGCCTTGGTAAATAAATCTGCCACTTGTTCCTTAGAGGAAACATATGAGAGTGTAATGTTTCCAGTAACATGCTCCAGTCGAACCACATGACAATCCATCTCAATATGTTTGGTACGCTCATGAAATACCGAATTTGTAGAATTGAAATGACACTCTGATTGTCACAGTATAAAGTGATAGGGGAAGTAACAAAGACATCAAGATCTCGCAGAAGAGTGCGGAGCCACTTCAACTCAACTGTGATATCCGCCAACGCCCTGTACTCAGACTCCATACTAGAATGAGAGATAACGACTTGATGCTTACTACGCCAAGAGATGATAGATGAACCCAGAAAAATACAGAAGCCAGTAGTGGAACGTCGAGTGTCTGCGTCATCAGCCTATCCAGCATCAGAATATGCACAAAGAGACAAAGAAGAGTCTGAAGGGAAATAATGATTGGGTTATAGTGCCACGGAGATATCGAAGAACCCGAATGAGAGCTGCATAATGAATGGAAGTTGGATTACTGACAAACTAGCTCAAGATGTGTACTGCATAGGCGATATCCGGACGTGTTGTTGAGAGATAAACCAATGCTCCGACAAGTTTCCGATATCGAGTAGGCTGAGATAAGGGATCGCCATCATCATGTCGAAGCTTCAAGTTCATTTTCATTGGCGTGGAGAGAGGAATGGTAGCAATGGAAGGATCACTGAGAGTAGCACGCTCAAGAATGTCTGCAATGTACTTATGTTGAGAGAGAAGATAGCCACGAGAGGAGAAAACAACCTTAATACCCAAAAAATAACAAAAAGATCCAAGATCCTTCATCTTAATTTGTCTCTGAAGATGTTGCTTTAAGGAAGTAATGACAAAGGAATCACTTCTAGTGATTATCATGCCATCAACATAAAGTAATAGAGTTACTGTACCGGAGGTCGAGGATCGATAAAATAGAGCGTAGTCAGCTAGGCTTTCAATAAAAACAATAGAAAGAAGGGATTGCCGAAAACGCTTAAACCAAGTCCGAGGAGCCTGTTTGAGAACATATATGGCACGACGAAGGCGATAGACATGTCCTGGAGGAGTAGAAAAGCCAGGAGGTGGCTGCATGTACACTATCTCAGACAGATTGCCATTAAGAAAAGCATTTTTAACATTCATTTGATACAAAGTCCAATATTTTGCAGCTGCAACAACAATGAGAGTGCAAATGAATGTCATTTTTACAACAAGAGCAAAAGTCTCTTCATAGTCAATACCATACTCTTGGGAGAATCCTCGAGCTACAAGACGAGCTTTATATCGCTCATTAGAACCGTCAGATCGAGTCTTGACTTTATAAATCAATTTGCAGCTTACCGGTTTAACACCGAAAAGTAGAGGACCAATGTCCTAAGTATTAGTCCGACGAAAAGCTTTTAACTCTTCTGTCATGGCTTGTTGCCATTCTGGGTACTTAACTGTCTCATAATATGAGTTAGGTTCATGTATAGAGTGAATAGCAGCAAGAAAAGAGACAAACTCAGAAGAATATGTGCTAGTGACACATTGAGCATACCGAACAGGGGGATGACGATCTCATGGAGGACTGCGACGAGGAGGAGTCACATCGGGAGAAGCTGGCATAAACGTAGAGGGGACATTAGTAGGAGTATCTTGTAGTAAAAGGGATGTAGTAGGTGGATGTCCAGGAGGTGTGGATGAATCAAGGGCACTATCGTTTGATGTCATTGGAGTGAAGGAGGAAGTCGGTTGAGCAGACGAAGGTATAGGTGCCACTGATATATGTATAGTAGTGAAAGATAATGAAGAGGGTTGAAGAAAGGAGAGATCTGAATCTGAAGTAGTATAATAGGAAATATTCTCAAAAAACATCACATGACAAGCAATGCGAAGCCTTCGAGTGGTAGGTTCATAACAACGATACCCCTTGTGAACAGTGCTACAGATTAGAAACAGAGAGCCCATGACCAATGTTGGATGGAGTGGAAAGATGTAGAGATTCTAATTGATAAACTCCATTAACTCTACGGCCTGTTCCAATCTTCTGGCCAGTGTGATCCTGAACAACACAAGATTTGACATTAAATAAAATAGTGCAACCATAATCTGCAATTTTTCCAATGGATAAAAGTTGCATAGATAATTTGGGAATATGAAGAACATATGATAATGTTAGACGATCAGAACTATCAGAACTTGAAGTAATATCACCTAACTGAGAGACGATAAGGGGAGTGTCAGAATGAGTAGACAAGGTAGTGAAATCTGAGCTGGAGGCAGCACCACTAAGTCCAAGATTCTTGATTATTAATATAGTAATCTCTGACAGCTGCTCAGAAGAGAAGGCTAGAAGTCTGCGGTCCTTAAGGAGCAAAGCTAACATCAGCCGAAGCAGCAAATGGAGGTCGAGTCTTCTCGAGTGTCGGATGAAGTGGTCTCTTACGACATTTATCAATAAGATGACCCGACTTATTACAATAACGACAGTAGAGTTGCCTAGAGGAATCAGATGTACTGTTAGAAGGACCCCGATAAGAAGAGAACTGCTAAGAAGTAGCTAGAACAGTATGTGATGAGGGCAATGACTGAGATGCAATAACTGGAGGGGAGAGCATCTGAATGCGCATCTCTTCAGATATGAACTTAGCCACGGCTTCACGGAGACTGCGGAGACGACTGCGATAAAGAATGTGTCCACGTAAGCTTTCGAACTCAGAGTGAAGGCACATGAAAAAGTGATATTACTGTTGATGATCACGTTGTTTTTAAAATGCTATGGCAAAGTCTGGAAGCGTCTCAGGAATAGGTTCCTCCATCATCTGTAATTCCTCCTAATAGCCTGATAATAAGGAATAGAAATCTTGAATACACCGATCACCTTGACATACATCCTGAAGGTGAAGTTGATACTCACGAGCAGCACCAGTCTGAACAAATATGTGACTGAGAGCTAGCCACTGCTCACGAGATGAATATGCTCGTCCAAGCGAGAGTCGAATAGGAATGGCTACAGAACGCATAATATTTGTCATGATCTGTTAATCAGTACGGATCCATTGAGAGTAAGTGATCTGAGAATCATTAGTAGTGGAATCACTAGAAGTGACTTCTGATATGATGGATGTAGATAACGAAGACACAATAATAGTTTTGGATGGACAACGAAGAGACCCGTCAATATAACGCTACAGTGCGAAAGCTTAAAGATTATACTGCTTAGTAAGAGACCATGCAGTGTAATTTTTAATATTTGTAAGTTGCACATCAAGGGGTGGAAAGGTGTAGAGTCCTTTCTTGTCCATGGACTTTTTTTTTGAATAATAGATGGGCTTGAAATAAAACCTAGGGTTCTGTAGAACTTGGGTTCTGCAGGACTTTGGGAAAGCCCAATAGACTTTGGGGAAGCAAAACTTGGGTTCTGCAAGACTCGAGGCTGCCAAAGCGATACCAACTACAAAAACGAATCAATGACGGTTTGGGGAGACGACACCAACATCAATCTTGACAATTTCTCACCCTCATCGACTCTCGTCCGATGGCGTCAAAGGCCGAGAAGAGGCCCGCAAAGAAGTAAGCGGTGGCGGAAAAGTCAGACGAGGAGCCAAAGGTAGAGAAAGCCCCCTCCGGCAAGAAGCCAAAGGCTGCCTGGCGCAAGATCAAGGTTGAGGTTAGGATCTCGGTCAAGCGAGGTTGAGATCTCAGGCTTGAGAGATCAACGCGAGATTAATGCTGCCTGGCGCGAGATCGAGGCTGAGGTTGGGTTCTCAGTCAAGTGAGGTTGGGATCTCAGGCTTAGGAGATCGACGCGAGGTCAAGGCTGGAGGCTGCCTGGCGCGAGATCGAGTCTGATCAGACCGGAGCGGACAACGATCAGAGGCGGTGATAGGGACAGATAAGACCTCTGGCTATGAGTGTTCTAGTGCTCGGATACCATATTAAATTTATATTGAGGAGAACTCCATATATAGATATACAAGATATACAAGATATATATATACACATTCAGAAAATACTAGGAGAGCGACTACACACTAGGAGGCGGCGGCTGAGGCGGCTAGGAGGCGCTATAAGGTGGCTATAGGGTGGCTGGTATGATATTTTCTGACAAGAAGAAAGAACCTTCGTCTATACCCAGCTTATCAAGAAAACCCCCTCATGTAAAAAAAAAGAAAGAGAAAAAAGAAAAGGAACTAATCTATGATAGTTATTGAAATTGTTAGGTTTTAAACAGTTTTAGGGTAAATTTGTAATGCCTATGTGAGGACTACACTTAAATTCCACAAGTGTCATTGTTAATTTTTTGTAATATCTTTTATCATCTTCTTCACTGATGAGGGAAGTTGCATTCCGTGACAAAATGTACACACTAATGAATAGACGAGGCCTGAAGGAGAATTTTTGTTTTGAGCTTAATGGATGAGTTTAGAAAAAAAAAACTGAGTATAGATGGAGGGGGCTTCTTAAACAGCTCAGTCTAGATGAAGATATTCTTGTAATGTTCCCTAAATTGAATCTGTTCTCCTTTTGTAACCTTTATGTAATCTTACAATGAAACTTATTCGTTTATCTTGGTCATTAATGCCAGAGATGACTTATTGAAGAAA